TTTTATGGAATTATGAATTTTTGTCACAGTCCTAACTTTAATCTACTCATTAATATTGATCGTCGCCATTTCTTTCTTTCAAACGAATAACTTACCGCAAGATTGCTCTCCCATAGATGAGAGTATTTTTACTTCCAGATCAGCATAATGTTCAAATATAGACTCATACCATCCAAATGAAATGGCTTTTGACATATTCCCAATTAATCCAAACCCATCATCAAACACATTTTGTTCAGTTTTTTCTAAGAATCCGTCTCGAATTGGTATAAATTCATTGTCGTGCGCAACAGCAATTTGGATAGGAATAAGACAAAAAAAATCAATAATCCAGCTAAAATTAGATATAGACAGAAATTTTAATACATTAAATATTTTATATTAATTTATAAATATATAAACTACTTACTTTCCAAGCTTATGTTCTGTAAATTCGCTTGCAAGGTTGTCAAAGCTTTCAAAAAGAATACAATTTACACTAAATTTTTCAAGATGGCTCATAGGTTTTTTTGTTTCTTTCTTATATTTTTGAAATAATTTACGAAAATATGCTTTAAACTTGGTCTTATAATTATCTATGTTCAGTTTATTGCTTAGTTCTATGATTATTGTTAATTTTAATGGTTCATCCTTTTTACTAAATGGATTTGTGATTGCATATTTTGTAAAAACCATAGAATATACATCAAACAATCCATTTACTTTTGTCCTTGGCTCAATGTTAAATTGTTGCCATTCTTCAAAACTAAGTTGCTGTTGATTGTTTATCTTCAATTCACAATCGTTAACAACTTTCATAATTTGAAAATTTTCATTACTAATAACTAAAATATCACCCACATGAAGGTCATTGGTGAACTTTGTGTTTTGGCCAACGACTGTAAGTGGATCGTTGCTTTCTATTTTTACTTTGCCTAAAGAATTTTTTGCTGTCTTTCGTTCAAATCGATATTTAGCCTTCATTTGTGTAACTTTAACCATCAAAGATTGAAAAAAATTATTATGTAAGTCAATTGTTATTAGATGAGTTTGTTTATTTGCAAGCGAACAAAATTGAAAAAGCTCTATGGCTGGATAAGCAAACGGAACTTCGATCACTTTGTTTGCATTTTTGTTAAACCTTTCCAAAAAAAATACGTATCCACGAACAATGTCTCTATTTAAACCTTGAGAATTATTTATTCTAGATTGAATCATAGTATTCTTCTGTAGTTTAGATTCTGTTAACTTAACTATACATTCATGAGAAATAGTTGCAAGTTCCTTATTTTTGTAGGATTAGCTAGTATTGAAAGATCAGCACAAGAGGAAACATTTTTACAGCTTTTTAATGCGGCACTTTCAAATCTTGTACTCTTTAAAAGCAATTTTGCAGTTAGCAGAGATATTTCTTCCATGTTCCAACGTTTCCAAGATGGAGCAAAATATTTTGGAGATGATACTGATATATTTCAAGTAATTTATATATTATTTATATATGACATAATATTATTACGTAAATTTGTTTATATTTTTTTGACATGTCATCCCTTATCTCTTGTGAAGGCATGTTTTTGTATAGTTATTAAAGATGTCGTAGTAGATGACAGAGAAGGAGTCATTAAAGAATATCATTCAAAATTTGCAAACATTGTTAATGAAGTATTTTATTGTTGATACTATTAATACTCTCGTACTCGCTAGAACTATTACAAAATTTTAATATATCTAATCATTGAATATTTTAGGAAGAGGAAGATAACTTCATATCAAAACTATATCACAACAATATGTCGATAGTTGCTTGGCCAGTATTTACTGACCCAACATTTTACACTTCGCTTGAGGAATTCAAAATTATACTCGATGAACAAGAATCCAAATATAAGAATGCACGAATGTTTTTAGAAAAGGCAAAGGTGCAGTATAATCGGATAAAAATAAAAAAACGATTCTTATAAAAAAAACCATTATAAATAGATAATAATGTCAAAACTACAGCAAGTATTATAACATAAAATTGCATAGTTTATGAAATTGCTCTAATACTTGTTATACATTCATTTAGAGCGTGTGACTGGGGAAGTGTCAAAGCTTCATTGATGACTATTAGAACGTTAGAGTTGAAAAAGTTTCTCAATAATGCTATATCATTTGGATATGAACAAAAGAGTGATAATCAATTTCAAGATAAAAATAAACTTACAAAATATCTTACAGTAAATATAACATTATTTCATTGATATGATTTGAATATTATGTTTTAGTAATTTACAAAGTACAAAAATATTTTTCTTCAGAACCGAGATGATGGAACTTCAATTCCTGACAATGATGTTTTCCTCTCTGAAATCTTCGATCATATTAATGACTCAACCAAAATAGTTCATGATACCGAACTTATATTATTCGAAGAGAATGGGAATTTTGTTGAAATTTCGTTTAGTATGTAATCCCAAAATCCGGTCAATTTGATTTGATGTTTTACGTTATTCCGATATAATTAATTCTCGTTAATATCAACCTATTTGGATCGCTTTCATATTCATGTCGATAGTGTTATAATGAGGGATCATTTATATAATTGATATATATGAAGGAGTTTAACATAATTTATAGTTTAGGTTAATATTAATGAAGTTGATATTAACGAGGATCACCTGTGTCAGAAACCTATTCTACTATTAAGAAGTTTTGAATTATATCTAACTTCATTAAATAAGGAAAATACAAATTATAGGGCATGCTTTAATATACTATAATATGCTGGATCATGTAAAACATAGAATCATTTTGATTATAGTATACACATATTTCCCTGAAAGCGATGGCTCGATTGCCTTATTTAGGCCGCTCAAATTTGAATAGTTGGTTAACATCGTTATATGAAATTTTAAAATTTTTTGGGGTTTTTTTTTTGAGTTAGGATTTAGAATTGTAATAAAAGAGTATATATAGATTTAGGGTTACGGCACGATTTCCATCCCCAAAAGTTAATTACCCGCAAACTAATTTCTCCGACACCGGAATGCAGACATGCTATTCATCTACAGCACAATTTTTTTAATAGAACATGCTTGACATTACATTTCTTCTACAATCCTTTTCTTAGACAATCCTTTTATTAGCAATCCTTTTCTCAGTCAATCCTTTTCATAGACAAGACATTTCCCATTTCCCAACATATAATTCTAAACAACATTAACTCTAAATCAGGTCAACATTAATGTTAAATCGAGCCAATTTTATGTTGAAGAATGATAGTCTGGGAAATGTCTTGCCTAAGAAAGTATTGTCGAAAATATGTAATGTCGAATATATGTCTTATCAAAAAAAAAAAAGTTCTGTAGATGAAATTGCAGCGGTGTCGGAGAAGAAGTTGGCGGATAAATAACTTTGAGCAACAACGGATTTTAGTAGTGTTTATCATTGTATTTTCAAATCAAAGTCCAAGTTTCAACATCAGCGACAGTTATTATACAGCAACCATGTAGTTCCTATCGAGGTCCACCGACGAGTATTGGATTATTTAATTATTATTAATTTGAGCGGTCTTAAAGTTAAGATTAGAGGTCACCAAGAAAAATGATTCACCGTAATATTATTATAAATGACATACACTAAAAATATATTCACATGATACTTACTAGATTTACGAAAATTTTTTGAGGAAAAAGTTTATGCTCGTGGATCAGTTCCAGATTCTGAATGGGTGACCAATCTAGATAAATTTCTGAAATTTATTGTCGATCGCCGAATAAAAAGGGTAAACGAATGGTTTGAAAAGAATCTTGTAAGATTCTCTAAAGAAAATAATGAAGTTATCATTATCAACTTTGCCCTTGAACGTGAAATCAACCGTCTCAATTTATTCTGGGATATTTGCCGCCTTAAATGTCATGAATGCGGCTTATCCTGTCTCAAAACTAGTCGACATGACGATAACCCAGACGATGCAAGCCATGACTGTCTAACCGATCATGAATGCCATCATGAATGTGAATTCAAAGAAAATCATCCTGATGGAATCATTCCAATTTGTGAGCACTTTGCCGCGCATGATGGAAAACATAAATGCTCATTTTTACATTTATGTGGTGCCCCTTGTATTTATGCTGGAAAAAAAAATTGTCAAAGAGGTTTATGTGCAAAAGAAAATGGGCATGAGAATACAAAAGAAAATGAGGCTCACAAGTGCAACTCAACAATACATTATTGTGGAGAACCGTGTTCGTTAAATGCTATAACAGTTAAAGGAAAATATGAGTGCAAAAATGAATGCATGGTAAATAAGTATTTTTTATGTATAGTAAAATATTATATTATGCACTCTCAAAATTAATAAGTGTAAAAAATAGATACCATGTGAGATAGAACATGATGTTCATAAATGTCAAAAAGATATGTGTCTAATTGAGTGCCCGATAAAGAACTGCCAACGACAATGCGACAATAAAGATCATTTCCATGCTTTTGAAGAAAATGCGATTCATTTTTGCGGGTAAATAAAGATTTTTACGAGTTGATTCATTTTTGTCTATCATTCTAATCTGTCTTCAGAAAGAACGATTTTGATAATTATCTATAATTTTATTATAGAAGAGCATGATTGTCAAGAGAAATGCGAGGAAGATGGGATATGTAAAATAGTGACAGAACCAACAGCAATTGAAGCCGAATATGTAAACAGGTATGCATAATTTTTATAATACATCAATCTCGAATTTTTTTCTCTAATTTCTTACCTCCTTAAATCAATAGGTTTGAAAGGTTTACGTATACAAAAGTAATTATTTAGAATAATATATATCATGAGTGGGAATGGCTTAAGTGGATTTGGAATTTTTTTAGAAATTCTAAATTTACTTAAATTCTGCTCCCAACTATAACATATACAATAAATTTCTGTAAATAAAGAATTTTATCATTGTTATAGAAGACGGAGCTAATACTAAGATATAATGTGCAGTTAAAGGAAAGCCAGATGCATTCACGTGACTAACTGCCAATCAAGATTTTGATTGACTCGAGTCAGCCAACGAGATATACAAAAAATATGCCCCTAAATCTTACCTAATTTAAATGATCAAAGTTATATGAATGTTCCTGGCGTTAGCCATTCCCATTTAAAGAGAGGTTCCTTTATTTTAATCATAAACGCTCTTAACAATAATTAATATGCTCTCGTATTTTTTTTAGTATTTGCAAACCTACCAAAGATTGCCTTGTTGTGTAAAAATTCCGCCATATAAATTTGAACATATTGGACAAAAGCATGTTCATGAAATAAAAAAGCCTCACAAGTGTAATTCAGGATGTCCAAACGATGATAAGCATATTATTGAACAAGAAAACAAGCAAAATTTTCATTTTTGTGATGAAAAATGTCCATATTGTGCTTATTATGTAAGTATTATCATGCGATTTAACTATATTCATTTTAATACGTAACAATCTCTCATTTAATTGTTTATAGTGTACAATGCCTTATGGACACGAAAAAGTGGATAATAGTAAACATTGTAATTATAACATGAGTGCAATATTATCGTTTGCAAAGTAATTCATACTTATTTACCTTTTATTATTAGCAACAACTCATGGAAACATGTATTTAACAACATTTACATGTGAAGATGGTGACTTTGAATTTGAAGGTATTGTGCATAAATGTGAATGTGCATATAAATATTTCGACAATATAAGGTCAAGCAAATAATAATTAGGCGAGACCAATTTGATTCAGTGGTTTACGTTACCCCTCACTATATACGTGGAAAATTTCGGAAAATTTTTATAATATCGCGGATCATTTCGGAGAAAAATTCCCTCCAGCCCCCCTCTTTTTTTGTGAGTAGGATGTAACGTAAACCACTGAATTAAATTGGTCTCGCCTTATGGTCAAGTAACATTTAATTTGCTAAGCGGAATCACAATAATTATTTGCATATCCTATCTAATAATAGCAAATTACAAAATTTTTTATTAGGTCATCGATTAACTGTTGGTGACCAAGGAGATTTCGTTTTGTGTCATAAAGTAAGTTAGCATAATAAACAAAGGAATTTATAGAATAATTACCAAAGTTCTGGGTCGGAATATAGGTTTTGGGCCGGAAATAAGAATCCTATGACAGAAATTTTATTTGTCATTTTTAAAATTATTAGATAAAATCTGTATACAGTCAAACCTCTATATATGCACCCTTTGGGACCGACCATAAGTGTGCATTTGTAGAGGGTATGCATTTATAGAGAGTAATTTTATAAGTGTCATTATTAGTTGGGACTGAGACATAGGGTGCAATTATAGAGGGTGTGCATTTATAGAGCGTGCATATATAGAGGTTTGACTGTATACTGACCCGGAATTCATGATAGTTTTCAAATATGAGGGAATCTATACCGTCTGTGTCAATATTGTTGCTGTATGTGCGTAGGCTATCGATGTTATGTCTCTTATATGAAGTCACGAGACACTCTTGTCGGACGCGTGTTAAATTGAAATTGATCCCAATGCTTGTCTTATATATTCGGTATTAATTAACTTTGAAAATTATTAGTTATGTGAAAATGCTGGGCGTCATCGTCATATAGATTATTGCAAAACTCCAGACGTTTGTAAATCTGGTATAACCAAAAGTGAAGGCTCACTTGAGCATATTTCAGGTTCTTATATTATATTTTATAATTAAATTTTAATTTATATATTTGCTAATTGTTATAGTATGTATAATTTTTAACCAATAGCACAAATTAGCCCCAATCCATTAAAAGAAAAAGATTATGTATCACATTGTATTTTTTGGGAACGAACAGGATTTAGAGGTACTTATTAATATATATTTTTTTAAAAAAAGTATAAATTTAAAATTTGATAGTTAAACTATTACAAACTTAACTAAATTTCAGATCCTTATTCTGTAAATGACCTTGAAGAATTCAAAAAATGTGACCATCAATGCGTTGATGAAAAACATGATAACAAAGAAAAATCTTATTGTACACAAAAAATTTTTCACCCTAGCTTGGATCATAAGTCCGAAACTATTCCAGATGATACTGGTTATATTTCAGTTGATGGACATCATGTAAGCTTATAATTCCATATCAGTGGGCTGTCCTATAATTTTTTAAGAAACTAATAATTTTTATCCAATATTTTAGGTTTCATGCGAAAGTCCATCAAAAATTTTCGGAAATTTTCATATTATATTTGTGGTAGACAGAAGTTATTCAATGAGTTCTGATGATTGCAAACCAAAATGTGACAACTCTAAGTTAATAGGTTTGAAAGATAATCATAATAACCGGCTTGGAGCTGTTATAGAATCAGTATTTACATTTATCGAAACTAGAAAAAATTCACGAAAATCAACACGAGTTGGACAAATGGCAACTGATCGAGATACCGTATCACTTGTTCTTTTTAATCATTATGCTACCGCTATATTCGAAAATAGAAGTTTATCACATTCAGAAGACCTTTTGGAGGAGATGATGAAGTATTCTGCAGATGGTTCTACAGATTTTGCAGAAGGGATCAAATGCGCCTCAGGTCTAATCAAGAAATATCATGATCCTTTAAAGTAAGCTGACAACCAATGTCACAACCAAAATTTTAAAATATATATTTAACGAAAATTTTGTATATTTAGAGTAAATTTAGTAATTTTTCTATCAGATGGTCTGAGTACTCTCCCAGAAAATGTGTTACACGATTTTTGTCAATTAGAAACAGATTTAGGGTAAATAAAAATAATAATCATCACGGCTAATGCTGAAATTGGATGATGCTGAAATTTAGGGTCCCCATTTAAATCTACAATACTTACTAAAATTCACATATATACTTCTTAACAATACTAGCCATAAATCCCAAATATTACCCTAAAAAAAAACTCTACATAAAAGGCCCAAAAATTTTTAAATTTTCATAATAAAATAGATTAAAGTTTTAGCACCTGCCAATTTCCGCATTAGCTGACAATAATTGTCATGAATCATTATGAAATCCGATTAAAATGAATTTTGAAGTTCTCTTTTTTGAGACCTAAACATCACTTATTTATATCTTTTATTATCAATTCTAACCTAAATTCTAACCCAACCCTTTAAAATGCACCCCAAAAATATTTCACAACATGTAATTTTAAATTATAATGGCTCAAATGGGTCAAATATCATTTAATCTAATTTCATTTTGATATTCTACAATTTTGATTTTTTGTATTATATATTTTTATTAACGAATATTTATGTTTTATAGAATTTATTTATACACAATTAAGTTTACTGGGGATTCAAATTCTAATGATTATTTTAGTCTAGTTACAAATCTAATTTATCCTAAACCATTAAATACGTTAGAAAAAATGGTCATGGTCGCAAACGAATATCTTCCAAAGTGTTCTGATAAAGATTCTTTAAAATGTAAATATGTTCTTGCAATTGATGAAATTGAGTTAATTGTTCATTTCACGCACGTTGCTGAAAGTCTTCGAAAACATAAGCCAACATTGATGGGTAAATAAGATGAATATACAAGAAACTAAAATGGTTAATTTTCTACTTATTTTCTTCAAGCACTTGTATACGTACTATAATGTTAGAATATTTGTTTTCTTGTATCACAATTATTATGATTTATCTTTATTTCTTTATTTCTTATTATTTATTAGTTACTATTACATGGTTGTTATTATATGGAATAGGTTCGTGGAAATGTTTGTATCATTTTCTGTCATGGTAGTCAATAAACATTGAAATGTAGTTTATTTAAAAATACATACATATGTCTACATATAAAAAAGCAATGGTCCTTTTATTAGATTTATTTATATTTTATTTATATTTATCCACAAGAATTAGACAAACATCATATAATTTGTATACAAGCTTTATGTTATGTGTATGGGCCATTGTCAGTCAAAACGTATTATAGTAAGACTAAAAAATTGGTATAAAATTAATTGTAACATAGTGTGTTGTTGTAATTATCTTGTCAATGTCCTCATTATTTAATATACTAAGCTGTTACAATTAATTATACATGGCAATTTTTTTAATCTCACTATGACACTTTTTGATTGACGATCCTCATATATATAAAAAGGTATTAATAGTTAACAAAAATAAAGTTCTAAATATGAAAATTTAGGTCTCTGGCGAACCCGGACCGAACCAAACTTTATTGCAAGTTTGAGTTTGATTCAAAATTCAAACCAAACCCAAATCCAAACTATTTTAAAGCTCAGTTTGGTTCGGATTCGAATATCAAACTATAGGCCTGGTTTGAGTCCGGTCTTGAAGTTTGACAAACTTGTTTGAATGTTCGGACTTAATAAAGATGGTCATTAAAGTTTGAAAATCTAAAATTACAATAGATTACTATTAATAATTGATAAATTATTCACATACTAATATTTATTATAAATTTACATATCAATATTTCTCATAGAATTAAAATGAAAAAATTTTCATGAATTTGACTAGATAAGTGCCGAATAATCATCGTTCAAAGGTTTGATGTCTTTAAAAAAGAAGCTGCGGCCAAATTTTTTTAACTTTTAATGAATATTACCCGACAATCAGCTATTAAATTCGATCAATTTTTTTAATTTCAATTTTATGTACCTATAGAATTAAGATAAAAAAAAAAAAAACATCAACAAATTTGGGTAGTTTATTGCCAAGAATCGTCATTTAAAGTTCAAAGAAAAATTTACCCGATGTGATATATTTTTTATTAAAAAAAACACAGCGATGATTCCTCAACAATTAATGAACCAAATTCAATGAACTTTTTTAGTTTAATTCTACAATGTCATAGAATTAAATTAAAATAATTTTACCGAATTTAATCAGGTAGTTGTGAGAAAATCATCGCTAGAAGTTTCAAAAAACTTTCGAATTTATAATTTTTGTTTCTAAATCTTGATCTGGATTTAGGACAGTGATGTAAATTGGATACACGCGCATATTTTCTTGAAAATTATTGGCGCTCTGTCAAATATTTTTGAAAGAAATCGAAGGACATTGTCATGAAATCACTTCAAAAAATATCACGTGCGTATTATAATTTTACTTTGTATATATAAAAAATTTTTTGTGCATATTTTATAACACTGATTTAGGATCTAAAGCCATCATAATTCTGGCATTAATTTGGCCAAAATTTGCGGATTGTAATGCTGGCCGACTTTACTTAACTCTGGCCAATCGCAAATTTTTTGCAGAATCATCTTTTATCACGGACGGAATTGGCATTTTGTCATCGCAGAAAATCATCGTCCCTGCCACCAGAACACAACATACGTAACACTACACAATACATACTTTATTGAAGCCCAATGACTCAGGAAACATTTCTACTTGACTTTATAAGGAGTTTTTGATGTTAATGCATACTAAGTATTGTACGAACTGTGTAAAAAAACTAAATCAAGAGATACCGGTAACTATAGTTGGGGTGAAAATTCATTTTCAATTTTCTTGATTTTCATCAATAATTTCAGCAAAGTTTAATATTTCTATAAATCAAAAAAAAAAAACTTTTTATTAAGAAGACCTTGTAAAAAATTTTATCCGATACCTCCATTTTTCCATATTTATTGTGAAAACTCCGTGAATCTATCTTAAGGCCGTGAATATGCAACATTTACGGAAAATGTTTCACCGCCATCTATATCGGTAACGACATATCGAATTTTCAGCCATCTATCCCAAATAATATATATACGTATATCGGCATGAAATGTTAACTTGCTTCTTCTCTAATTAGTATGAATACTATTAAAATTCTTATCAGCTATCGCGCTTTAAAAGGAGATCAATTACAACGAATTTCAACGCATAGAACCAATTCTAGACGTAGGTCCAAACGAGATCAAAAAAACCTATTTAGAATCTCGATATAGTGGAGTTATCATCAAATATTTAAATGAGAGTGACAAAAATGAATATAGTAGAAAACTCATCAGAGAGGTACAGGACGTAACATTATATCGAGCCCGATTTTTAATGTATACAAGTTTTAGATTCGAAATCCATTTTCTATCTAATTTTTAAATGATTTAAATTGAAAATAAATAGGTAATGAATTTAAAGGACATTGAACAAAACAAAAACGTAAGATTTTATGGCGTTACAAAAGGTTACATATACTATTTTTATTTAAAGCAACCAAATTCTCATGTTTATTAATTATGGAGCTAGAGATTTATAATTCACTTTATCACATCATTATCTCAGAACCTTCTAAGAATTATTACTCTATGGTGCTTCAGCAATGCTACGGTGAAAATCTTAGAGTATATTTGAAAAATAATTTATCAAAAAAGGATTGGACTTTTAAAATAAAAATAGCCACAGGTATTGCCAATGGTTTAAAATATATTCATAAAGCAAATGTTGTACATCGTGCTCTGGTGAGTATTTAATTTTATCAAAATTAGAATATATAATTGGTTTAGTATTGACAGTCAAGAATATTTAAAAGATAAAATTTTCTACGCATTCTTATTTATTATTGCGTGTTTACTAAAAGCAACAAAACTATCATTAATAGAGTTCAGAAAACATATTAGAACATGATGGTACATTTATAATATTAAGGGCCTACTCCCGATCTTGCAGAAGAAATGTCGATCCTAGGGATAATATTGTCAGGGGTGAAATACGGCGAGTCAGTCGCTTCACAATCCAAAAACTCGCGTAACCTACGGTAAGTAACCTTACGAAAGAGGTGTGTTAGATTTGGCTAGAGGGTAATTAAAGCTTCGGTTACTCTGGGTCAGCAACGTTAGGTCACGTGAGCAAGGGTTTAACGAATGACAATTTATAACTTAGGGACTTGGGTATTAGTAAAGCAAACGAGACCTAACTTCTCTTGGGGCGATAACGCCTTTATTTATAATAAACTTTTACTTAGTAATTAATAAAATCATTATATCTCTTATATTTATTATCTTTATTAAATTGATTATATGGGTTATATCAAATAAAACTACTATATCTCCTATAACTATTAAATCGGTTTTATCTATTATCTTCGTTATATTAGTTATCTGGGATATATTTAATTTCTTCATTATATTCGATATATCGCCGGCAACTCCTTTTTAGGCTAAAGATCATCCTAATCAAAGTAACGTGAGTTGGCGCAGCGATTTTTAGGTCACGTTTTTCCGACCTCACAATATTTACGTGGATCCGATGTGTTTTAACGTTGATTATAAATACGATAAATCTTCAGATATTTACAGTCTTGGATTGATATTGTGGGAAATATCTAGTGGCAAAATCGCCCATAAGAAAAATAAGGAAACTCCGGTCAACTTAACCCCAATTGATTACAAAGAGCTATATGAAAGTGCATGGAGTGACGATTCTAAAATACGACCATCAATTGAGGAGTTTATAGAAATTATTGATATTAATCATATATTTCAAGATTCTGATTATATTCCAAATGTTTACCTTGGGAGAAACAATGCTTTAGCATCAAAAAAAGAAGCTTGTTTATTTTTTAGTGAAGGCACGTATCAAACCCGATATCTCTTCCTTACCCAAAATGAACCATTTATTGGAAGAAATGAATCAAACCATATCGTTATATAAGACCAAGAACTTGGCAAACAGCATGCAAAAATTACAAATTTTAAGATTTTCGATTTGGGATCTGAATCCGTAATTTATGTTAATGGTAGAAAACTCGAGTTTCGAGCCTTTCGTACTTTAGAAAAAGACGATTTGATTAAATTGGGAAAAGTTGTTTTCCAATACCTTCCCGCTGGAGAATATGAGAACCGCATCGATAAACTTTTACCGATTTACAACACGGCTTACTTGCGGAAAAGCCTGGAAAATGAATTCAAAAATGCAAAAGAAAATAAGCAAAATTTGAGTTTATTGTTTTTTGATTTGGATCACTTTGGAAATATAAATAAAAATTATAGCCATGAAGCAGGAGACTATGTTTTAAAAGAATCATCTAAATTAATTCAAAATGAATATGTTCGCGTTGAAGATATATTTGCTCGATATGGTGGAGAAGAGTTTACTATTCTTCTCAATGATACTAATGTAGAGTCGCCTTTGAAATTGCTGAAAAAATCAGAGCATCTGTTGAAACTCATACATTTATTATCAACGAGAAAAAATTACCTGTTACGCTTAGCATTGGTGTTTCCGTAATGAACTCATCGGTAGAAGCATCTACTGACTTATTGAATCATGGTGAAAAAGCTTGTCAAAAGGCCAAAAAATGGGTCACAATCGGGTAATAATATGGTAGAATGATCCATTTTCAATCCGTATGTTATATGTTTATTGGCTTATTCATTTACTCTATCAAATACATTTATTAATAATGATATAACTAAAACGCTCTCAGATTAGGCGAGACCAACTGGATTATGTGTTTTACATTACCCCCCCCCCCCCCCCCCCCCCCCCCCCCCCCCCCCCCCCTCCCCCCCTCTCCCCCCCCCCCCCCCCCCCTCCCCCCCCCCCCCCCCCCCCCCCCCCCCCCCCCCCCCCCCCCC